TCTTGAGTATAATGGCAACTAAAAATAATATTTCTAGCAGCAACTCGAGCTTCAACTGGATTATATGTAGTTCCTAATACGAAGAAATTTGTTTGGGTGTTGCAAGTGTAGGATTCAACGTGATAAGTTTCAGAATACCACTTTCAGAAAATTTCTAGTGGAGTTCACAGAGGTGGAGAGCAAATATAACAAGATAGATCAGGTGTGTTATATTGAAGTATATCAACAGCAAGAGCAGAAAAATTTGTATGTTGAGTGTCATGATTAATAATATTATGGTTATGAAATCTAGTTACAGGATCTCCCATAAAAGAAAATAAACTTCGAGCAGTTTAGTAGTAATGCAATCTGCAAAAAGAAATTATCTTCCAGAGATAATTATAAACGAGATAAAAAAAAAATAAAATAGAAATAATAGTGATAAAGAGAATAATATGTGTGCAAAGAAAAGATTTAAAATGATTATAACAAGTAATGATGTCAAGGTAACAATTTCAAAATATAATTTAATTTCAAATACAATTTAATTTAGCATGCAATAATTATTTAATTTAATCTGCTGGCTACTTGCAAGTGGTAAAGCATAAACTCTCCAAGTTTTACAATAAAGTTAGTAGTTTTATACCTTTAATAATTTTAATTCCAATGTTGCTTTTTTTTCAATAGCCAATCTTGCAATAATTTCAAAAAAAAGTTGAAATCCAAGTGAGACAATTCAAGAGAGATAATTCCTAGGGGAGACCTAATAAAATCTGCTATGATTTTATACTTGTTAACTAGAAACTCAATCAAAGAGAGGTGGTATATATTTAAGAAGGGGTTGGAGTAGGGTTTGGATTTCCAGTTAAATGTTTTGGCTTTCCGCCAGAAGGCACCAAAATGTTACAATGTTATAGCCTTCTTGGTATTGTTATAGCAAAGTAACAAGGTCACCCGGTGCAGTGATATACTTTATGAATATACACAGGGTGGCGTGAAGTGTATACTTTTTACTTCACAGCAGGAGGCAAACAGTTCAAGATAATAACAGTTTATAGAGATAATATTTATTAATAATAGGCTCACAGTTAGTGATTGGCGCCGTAATCATGTAATGCTAATTGTCACGTGGTAAAATATATAATAATCAACAATCTAATTGTTGATTTTTATACATTGTATCATGTAACAATTAGCATCACATGATTACGGCGCCAATCACTATTCACAGTAATATCCTTTACAATAGGAATAACCTAAAGAGATAATATTACACTATACAAATGTAAGAAGGGTAATAAGGGTAGTTAGGTAAGGCTAGATTCCATGAGAGAGTAGGGAACTCTAACTTGAGCAGAAGGGACAAAAGGCTCCCTTTTTATATCTTTTCTACACATAAGAGGTGTAATGGTATAAATGCCAAACCGTACTAAGAGGTACTCGTGTGAAGGTACTGAGAGGTACCATATGGAGATACTGAGAGGTACTTGTGTAAAGGTACTGAGAGGTACTAGTGTGCAGGTACTGAGAGGTACTCGTGTGCAGGTACTGGGAGGTACTCGTGTGCAGGTACTGTGCCTCAATTCTCTAGCCAATATCATCTCTAAAATTACTATAATAAATATTGTTATAAAATATAATAATAGCTAATACTAATAAATACTAAATAAATATAACTAATATATAATAATACAATTTATAGAATATAATCTATTCTACACTATGCTAATATTATATTGTGTTACAACCTACTTTGTAACAGTAGAACAAACTTTATTATTAAAAAAAAAGATTTAAAATCAGGTTAAAGAGCAAATGGTAAAAGTTTGAATTTTGTCTAAAAATCGTTTTAGGACTTTATTTCATGGATATAAGAGCTAGAGACTTGAAATTTGAGTATTACATATGTTTTGATGAACCTTACTTAGAAAGTTAAGTTAGTTTAGTATAGTAAAATTTTGCAGTGTAAATAGACATTTTTTGTTGAATAGATTTTAAATAAATTTTCAGTATGCTATATCTTAATAATGTACTAAGTAGATATTCTAAGTAAAAATATTTAAAACTCCTAAAAAGCTTATAAAAACTGAGATTAGGATCTCATATTCAACCTATATTATATTCAGGATTGGTCAAATCACTGGTTGACCAAAAATTCGCTAGTCAAACTGGTCAGTCGAATAATTTAGTCGGCAGATGTATGCGTATTTGTGCATACTAAAACCTATTACTTCACCGACAAATTTTCTTATAAATTTCTTAAATATCATCTGTGGATTGTTGACAAGAAAGTAAGCATTAGGGACAAAATTGATTTGTCATCCGAACGGTTTAACGGTTTGAAATATCAATGGCAAGTTAATCTATGTAAATATTTTTATTATAACTTATTATTTATGATTATCCAGATTTTTGAAAGAAATTTCTAATTATTCAATTTCCAATAGAATTTAGTAAACACGAGAATTGCTTGTGAACTTTATGGATATTGCTTAATGGGTTTTGTCTAAATTTTCAAATCGAATTTTGTTAGGTACTTGGAGCTTCCACTTTATTAAACCTCTTAGATAATAAAAACTAGTTACAGAGAAATCTTTATAAATAAACGCCATAAATGACCGCCTTTAACAATGTGCATTTAAAGAAAATAATAAAAATTGCATCCATAAAGCATATATTTGGCCAGAGGTTAAAAGTGTAGTAGGGAGTAGAGTAAAGGGCGTGTGCATTTAGAAAGGTCTCTTTATATTTATCTTTTAAATAAAGTTTACAATATTAAAATGTTGGTCTTAGTTCAGGTTGCATAATTCTGCGTTAAATTGACTTTAAAACCCGAAATTAAGCATAGGAAAAAATTTAGGTAAAAAATTACAAGGATCTTTAGAATAATAAAAACAATTCAATAGAAACAAAAAATAAATTTGTTTTTCAACCTATAACACATTTCAATAGTGCAATATTACAACAGTTGTTCAATGAAAATATCTTGTATACATATTGATACGTATGATGCTTAAGAATATTTGCACATACAATTCTGTGGTTTACACCTACATGTGTTATTATATATTTTCATGCTCATTTGATATATCTCTGTCATTGAAGGATTTATTATAATCTGCAGGTTTTTCTTCATAGCATTATTTGGACTCCATTCATATAATTATTTGTTAGTCCACGATAATATAAGGTCATTGTATCACTTGGACTTAATTTGCGAGTGTTTCTTCATATCTATTCATATTATCATATGATAATCCACGATTATTTAAGGTATTTGCATCATTTGGTCTTATTTCTAATGATTTATTATAATCTGCGAGTGCTTCTTCATATCTGCTCATTTTATAATAAGTTGTTCCACGATTGTATAATATATTTGCATCATTTGGTCTTATTTCTAATGATTTATTATAATCTGCAAGTGTCTCTTCATATCTACCCATATGATCATTTATTATATGTTGATCCACGATTATATAAGGTATTTGAATGATTTATTATAATCTGCAAGTGCTTCTTCATTTCTATTCATCTTATTATATGTTGATCCACGATTATATAAGGTATTTACATGGTTTGGTCTTATTTCTAATGATTTATTATAATCTGCAAGTGCTTCTTCATATCTACTCATATAATCATATATTGATCCACGATTAGTTAAGGTATTTGCATTATTTGGACTTATTTCTAATGATTTAGTAAAATCTGCAAGTGCTTCTTCATATCTACTCATGTGATAATATGTTGATCCACGATTATGTAAGGTATTTGCATCATTTGGACTCATTTCTAATGATTTATTATAATCTGCAAGTGCTTCTTCGTATCTACTCATCTTATTATATGTTGCTCCACGATTATATAAGGTATTTGTATCATTTGGTCTTATTTCTAATGATTTATTATAATCTGCAAGTGCTTCTTCATATCTATTCATATCATCATACATTAATCCACGATTATTTAAGGTATTTGCATCATTTGGTCTTATTTCTAATGATTTATTATAATCTGCAAGTGCTTCTTCGTACCTACTCATCTTATTATATGTTGATCCACGATTATATAAGGTAGTTGCATCATTTGGTCTTATTTCTAATGATTTATTAAAATCTGCAAGTGCTTCTTTAAAATTATTCATTTCATAAAATATTAAGCCTTTATAATTGTAAGCTAAAGGTTTTAATGATTTTAATTCAATTGCCACTGCTAGATCTTTTAAAGCTTGTGAATATAATTCAAGTTTCCAAGATGCAAATGCTCTTCTACATAAAATCGAGTAACTTTTTGGATAAGATTGTAAGAGCTGAGTTAACCACACTATAGCTGTTTCGTAATCTTTTTGTTGTTCTGCTTTAGTTGCTTTATTTAATGCTGGATGTAAGACTTTTGGACGAACCTTTTTCAAAAGAAATAGATTTTGAAGACATATGAATTCCAAATATATTCATTTTATTCATTTTTAAAAGTAAATCATCTTCAGCAATATATATTTTGTTTGTTGATATTTGCTGTTCTTCTATTAAATTATTTAAATATCCTTCTTTCTCTAGTCTTTTATAAAGACCTTTCATCATTGTATTTTGAATAAGATTATAAACCGATTCTATCTTAATTTCTGTTCTGCAAAAAATTCTCAAATATTGATACGTTTTTCCACTTACTAATTGCATCATGACTAATCGAATTACCACAACATGATAAAATAAGAAAATCCCCAGTTATTTGTCCAGTAATTTTACAAGTAAAATTTTCTGCAATTATTTCTAACAAAGGATTGGACGTTTTATCTGGTACGTTATTCTTGATTATTGATTTCTTGCTATAATTTACATCTACTTGTTTTATAAATTCATTATTTAATTGAAGTTTTTGATTCACATCATGAATTAGAGTTTCAAATTTTAGTCGAGCATCTACTGGTAGTGGTTCAATAAATTTCTCAATTTCTTCTTGTACTATATCTTTAAACCAATGAGGCTCTTGATAAGAGAGAGATACAAGTACTTCTAAAGATTTGAAATTAATATAAGAGCATTGTGACTTCTGCAATGATTCTAAAGCTAAATAATAACAAAGAGCTAAATTAACAGGTTGAACAGTTTTATAACTTAAATTTTGGGCGAGATCTAATACACCAAACCACAAAGAGTTTGGTAGAGCAGTTGGCTCTTTTCTAGTCCACAATGCACGAAATGCTTTCTGATTATTCAGGATCGTTAAAATATTATCATGCTTCTGCTGCTCATATCCCTGATTAAAAGCATGTTGCCAAAGTGATTCAAGAAGATAAGTCTCATTATAAAATCATTAAAATATTCTAATTTGAATCTTTTTCCAAATTTTTTAATGAATAAAAGTTCACGCCACACTGGATACCAGTAAGTAGCAGGGTATTTAACTTTGAAAACATTTATAATTCTTGGCAAAGTGTTACTAATAAATGAATCAACAAGTGCAGCAGGAACATTTCCAACAGCCGCAGGAGATATTCTAGGAGCAGCACTAATAAGAGCTAAAATTCCATCTTTAAAACGTTGAAAAAATTCATCTAATTGAGTTTCATCATCACGCATACTGTGTAAAGTGTCACGTAAGTGAATCAACAAAAAATTAATATTATAATTTGGAAAATTCATGTAGATATTATTAACCTCTTTAAACTTAAATTTAGACTTAAAACTATGATTAACCCTTTGACTAGACATTTCAGTTACTCGGTAGTGAATATCAATAAAATTATCCAAATTACTATAGAGTTTGTCACGCGTCTCACAGTTTAATATAATAGGAGAATAAAAAACTATTTCTAAGGTAGCAACCAAAGTCCTGAGATGTAATTCTAAATGTGGAATGGTATTTCTTGTGTAGCATTTAACATTAAATAAAGAGGCATCGCTGAGTAATAAAAGTGCGTCAACTAATAGTTCTAGCAATGGTGCAGAAGGCTCTATTTCAAGATTTTCAACTAAATATTTAAACCTGATTAAATTTAGTGGATCTCTAAAGTTATTCATAAACTCTTTAGCACGATCAATAATGACTTTATGGTCTCCAGTTTTTGTAAAAGCCGATGTTGAGGATTCCATGTTAAATTTATTAAAGTGTTTATATCTTACAGACTAAAAATAAAAATAAATTTTAATATTTGTACTAATCATTCACGAGTGATAATTATTACTACTCTTACGGTTGAAAAATTCGAGCCGGGAATTCCTTCTGCTATAACGATTCTTCAAGGTTTATAAGAAAAATAGAGTTTGGCAAATTGCTTTTTTGTCGTCAAAGTAAAGAATTCTGATAGTGATATTGCGAAAAAAGCTATCTTGATTTTTCAACCTATTTTTATTGACAAATTTGTGTGTATCATAACACGAGGGGTAGTTCACAAAGAGCAGTTATACAGCATTTTTGTGACATTAGGTCACAAACTCTTTAACCTAATTGGCTTATAATGAGGCAAAGCATGACATGATTTTTGTACTTAAACTTTACACGTGACTGCTCACATGACTATATACTACAGTCAGTGTTCGGCGAAACTATTTTCCAAATCGTCCAGGGGAATTTTAGTTTCGCCCTATAAGTCTGAAACAATTTGATCTGCAAATAACTGCAAAATTGGGTTTCGCCCGAAACACTGACTACAGTAAATACTATATTCAAGCGAGTGTAGTGCATACTGTACTACTTTCTAACAATTCTTCTATTAAATGGTAATCATCTATCTCTATTTATCCATCCTTGAATCGTTATGCCTGTATTACACGTCTGACACCATAATTTATTTGCGCTATCTTTCGTTATAATGTGCATATTTTTTATAATTAGAATTCTTTTTTGTTAAATTAAATCTCATATAAGCCATTTCACTTTGCTTTAAATTTAGATATAAATTAATTTTTACGTTAACCGTTAGAATAAATAGTTAAGAATCATGAAGCTGAATAATATTTATTAATGAATTTTCTTATATTCACAGACTTACCTATCGTGAAGAAATAAAACTAAACCGTAAATACGTATTCATGAAAATTGAATGATTTATTTTTGAATACAGTATTTTGATATAACTTTTATTGCATAATAATTTAAATTTTGTAACTGAATAACTTTTATTACATAATAATTTAAATTTTACTAAATAAGGTTTGAAAAAATTAAGTTTTTAGCTTTCTAAAGTTAAATTATTAATAAATAGGTTTAATAAAATTTTTTTTTATACAGTAATATATGTTGTATAAATATTAAAATAAAAAAATATTTATTAGTTTTATAGCTAATAGAAAAAAAAATTAATATACTTCAGAATAAAATGGAACATTCAAATAATTTTGTAATACCGGAGAAACGTTGAAATATAATGTAACTATACGTACTAGCAAATTTAATCAAAAATGCTAGTTATTTTTAAATAATTGAGATCTAATCTATTAGCATTGTATTTTTCAGTATATAATGTTTATTAAAGTGGAACGGACAATAAGATCAGGGAATAGGTAAATTGGAAATGATTTCCAGTGTCTATTTAAGTAAAAAAATAAAAATAGAAAAATAAATTTAGCAACTTTTAGTAAGATTAAATGTTGAAAAGCGTTCAAGATGGGCTTAGACAAACAAATTACAAATCATATTATAATATGTTACTCCACTATTATGTAAGATAGTTTCATCGTTTGGTCTTATTTTCAATGATTTACTATAATCGGTAAATGCTTCTTCATATCTACCCATACGATGATAAGTAGATCCACGATTATTTAATATTTCTGGATTATTTGGAATTATTTCTAATGACTTATTATAATCTGCAAGTGCTTCTTCATATCTATTCAGACCATCATATAATAATCCACGATAACTTAATACATTTGCATCATCTGGTCTTATTTCCAATGATTTATTATAATCAGCAAGTGCTTCTTTAAATTTACTCATGCGATGATAAATAGATCCACGATTATATAATGTTGTTGCATCATTTGGACATATTTCTAATGACCTATTGTAATCTGTAAGTGCTTCTTCATATCTTTTCAAATTCTGATATGTCAATCCGCGATTATATAAGGCAATTGCATCATTTGGAATTATTTCCAATGATTTATTATAATCTTCGAGTGCATCTTCATACCTATTCATATTATAATATGTTAATCCACGATTATTTAAGGTAGTTGCATCGTTTGGCTTTATTTCCAATGATTTGTTATAATCAGAGAGTGCTTCTTCATATCTTTTTATATGATAATATATTGACCCACGATTAAATAAGGTAGTTGCATCATTTGGTCTTACTTCCAATGATTTATTATAATCAGCAAGTGCTTCTCTATATTTTCCCATGTGTTTATAAGTCAATCCACGATTGCTTAATGTATCTGCATGATTTGGACTTATTTTTAATGATTTATTATAATCTTCAAGTGCTTCTTCATATTTACTCATATGGTAATATGTTGACCCACGATTATACAAGGTAATTGGATCATTTGGTCTTATTTCTAATGATTTATTATAATCTTCAAGTGCTTCTTTAAATCCTCCCATACGTTTATAAGTTAATCCACGATTATTTAAGGTAGTAGCATTATTTGGATCTATTTTTAATGATTTGTTATAATCTGTAAGTGCTTCTTTATATCTACATACCTTATCATATGTTAATCCACGATTATATAAGGTATTTGCATCACATGGACATATTTTTAATGATTTATTATAATCTGCAAGTGCTTCTTTAAAATTCTTCATTTCATAAAATATCTGACCTCTATAATTATAAGCTAAAGTTTTCGTTGGTTTTAATTTAATTGCCACTGCTAAATCTTTTAAAGCTTGTGTATATGATCCAAGTTTCCATGATGCGAATGCTTTTCTACATAAAATCGAATAACTTTTGGGATAAAGTTGTAAAAGTTGATTTAAATACACTATAGCTGTTTCATAATCTCCTTGCTGTTCTGCTTTAGTTGCTTTGTTTAATGCTGGGTGTAAGGCTTTTGGGCGAGCCTTTTTTAAAATCGAAGTAGGAGATTTAAATATACTCATTCTTTATTTTAAAGTAAATAACCATGTTTTATTGAAAATTGCGTTTACAAATTGTTTTTTATTTTCTGCTAACAAAGTGGAAATTTTTTGATGAGTGATATTTAGTAAAAGAAAAAAAAGCTATTTTAATTTTTCAAACCGGGATTAAATTTTTTGTCGTCAAATGTATTACTAAATGTAAATCATTGATTCTGTCACACCATATCACTGAACAAATGTACACGACCTTAGTTGTTTATAATTATGCATGCAACAATCGCCGAGATTTAAATCAAATGATACAAATATTGTTGGTAATAAATGTTGCATAGATTAATTATAACTCATGAAAGACTAATTCTATTCAAAGGTTTTATTTACGTACATAAGTGGTTCGTTTAAATTATATATAGCAATTTGGCATTATATTACCTAATTGCTGTTATGTAAGTTTGAATTTTTTGTATTGCCGAACACGTATATAGAATTTGTGATTTTCAAATTTTATTTTTGTTTTGCAATTTTTGTAGTACAGCAAGTTGAGTAATACTTTTGTGAGGTGACGAAAAAACAAAAAAAAAATAAACAAAAAAATTTAGAAAGATAAAAAGTATCATAACACATGTAAACATAAATATCATAAATACAATTTTTATATGTATAAATTGTCGTTACAAATTTATCAGTTATAAAAAAAATACTATAGTTTTAATAATAATAAATCTCTTTAGGTGAAAAGCGAATATGTTGACTGTAAATGTTGTGCTTGGAATCTTTCATTTGCTTGAAGTTGCAGATTCAAGCGTCTGGGGATGCACCGACTGAGATTAGTTCTGATATTAAATCTTATAACGTGTAATTTGGGAAGGTGAGACCTCAGGAGTCGAAGTTGCAACTTCAAACAAAGCCTAGCTTTAAGTATGACAATTATAAGTTCACAGTGAAGCGAATTTTGTATATTACCGTTGTTAAAACAATGGTAATATACAGATTGGTTAGATATTTTGTGAGCACTATGAGCTCTGCATATTACTACTTTTTTTTTAACTCATTATTTGTCGTACCACTTAGCAAAGAGCGACAAAAAAAAAAAAACTCACAGTTTAAAGATCTTTATCGATAGAAAATTTTCTCCCTAAATGCAGCCCTCTAAATGGCGCCCTGGAAACCCATGCACGTCACCATTTAACCCCTCCCTAAGCACGTTTGACAATTTTTACGCATATTTTTTAAAAGCCTATTCAACCATATTATTATAGAAAAATTAAACTATATTATAATGCATTTAGGGCGATCTGACTGTAGAGTGTATTCAGATTGTACGATTTCAAATTGCGCAATACTTATGTGAGTAACCATATATATATTCGTATTGTTATAAATTTGATTTGTGATAATTATTAATTTAAGATTAAGATTAAACAAAAAATTAAAATTTAACAATAATATACCGTACAGCGCTACATATAGTACCCCGGGTATTTTACAAAAAGCCAGCCTAGGTTAAATACTACCCCCCCCAAGTATTGGGAGATTGAAGGATAATATAAATAATCGTTACTGATCAATATATACTTTGCTATTAGACATATCGAATCCAATGAAAAGATTGCACATTGATTATGAAAATTGGGTCACAACAGAACCACCGGATTTTAACAATAGCAAAAATAGCACTAGCTATATCACGACAACCACTTAACCAAATCTGACCGAAATTGGTTTATTATAATTCTATATCGATATACGTATAGAATAAATATAAAACAATTTCGGTCAGATTTGGTTAAATGGTTATCGTGATATAACGATAACTAGTGCTATTTTGCTATCGGTGGCTTTGGGCCACAAATCGCTGGTCAAAAAAGGGGGTACTATTCCAGGGGTACTATTCCAGGGGTTCTATATGCAGCGTTATACGGTACATATGCATTTATTATTCGCTTAAAATGCCCGCACAAACGTCGCATAAATCATAAAAACAAAAATCAATCACATCTTATGTGTTTATACATGACCGCATACGTCTGGACTCTCTGACTGTGAGCACTTATGGTAAATAAGCACCGTAAAGGGTTTACCTACACTTCACTATCGGGAGTTGATTAATAAAATAGATACTCCGATATGTGAATAATTTGTAGCACCAATCAGAAGTGTGGGAATTAGTAAACTCCACCGCCAATAACTTTAAATTAATTGCTCCCTAAAATCACAAGATTGATCAAATCATAAAGCAGCATGTTAACGATTATCAAATAATCAGTGAATAAACACCCATTATCCGACAAACTCATATGATCATGAAAAACTTTCTTTCTGTTATTTTTTTCATGTGTTACGATGTAATTATGTTTTTCCAATATTCAAAAAAAAAAAACTCAGCGAGTGACTCCCTACCAATCATGATCATAAATTGTCGGATAACACCATTATTGGGCAAATTGCCGTTATTCACAAATTTTTGCCCAATAATGTATACTTAATTAAAAAACGGAGCTTATTTTCCGAATTTTACTGTAGTTGAATTTGAATTTAGATGCATAATAAAAACACTTTTTTTTTTTGCTATCCCTACATAGAAACGGTAATTCTAGATTACGGTGGAGAATTTATTTTAAATGAAAATAAATTACCGGTACTTAAAATTGTAAAGATCACTGGAAAAACTTAATCACAAGCGAAAGTAATTCTGTCTTAGATCGCTCATTTTATAACAGATAAGTTTTATTTCAAGCATGCTGTCAATCTTTTAAAAAAAGCTTTGTGTATCAATATAAAGGTCAGTAATCAAAATTTTGTAGCACAAAATTAACATACGTACTTAATTAATTAATAAGCGATTTATATAAAATTGATCCGTGAAATTAGACTTAACATATTATTATCGATTATATTTATTAACTATTGTACTCACGGGATGAGGTTATTTCCAACAGACAATAGCTTCTTTATTGAAGGTAAAGTTTTCACAATGGCGAATTTGTCCGACAGAAGCTTCTGCATAGAAATCAAGAATGTCCAGAATTCTGCGGTGCTCATGCTAAAAATACTTTTTTTACATTTTTGGTTGCTTTTTTTTTTAAAAAAAAAAGATTTATGCCACTTTGTCTTGCAGAGACAATAGGAAAAATATTTTTAGAATTAGCTGCAGAATTCTTGATGCTCTGATGATGATCGCATCAAAACATACGTCAGAAATTGGACTTGCCCATATTTGTACTTTAAGTACTGTAGCAAAAAATACGTATGTACGGGCGTACGCGATAATGTTATATGATGATCACGTGCTCCAGACGCATAATGCATTAGTGTTATTATGTATCGGCATTGATTGGTGCGATTGGTGTTCTGGTAACACAGCAACAAGATAAATTACGTATTGCTATAAACAGTGACAACATAAATATTCGCTTCCAGGTATCATTTTCCAGCTGGTGCGTAGGGCTTAAACTACCATATTGATTTGCCGGTTATTCAAAAGTATTTATATATAATATAATAGCAATTAAATATGAAACAAATATTTAGTTTTGTTGTATCAGAAAGGATATTTTAAACAATAAGCCCTGCTGGTGCGTACATATTTCTAAAACTGCTATTTCTATGAATCAATTAATTCTATCCTATCTTATCTACTGTTATGGGCAAAAAATGACATTTTCGAAGTAAGACATAGCTTGTTATTGGTGCATAGTGACACTACAAGTACCGTAAATACCTGATTATGATGTCGGGAGAAATACTGAGGTAAACAAAATGAAACTGTTAGCATTTTCAATGAAAATTATGCGTGGTATAAAGAAACTACTAATATTGAGATCAGTTTGAAAAGAGATAGAAGCCTTAAATAATGATTAAATATTTTAATGCTGACTGCGCAGGCTTTTTCGATTTTTAACAGCTCCTTACTTTGTTTAGAGCGTCGGGAGTGCGTCGAGTGTAACCCGGGTTTGCATAAGGAGAGCATCTTCCTGCGTTGCGAATACA